ATAGAAGCTATATCGTTTTTAGTTGATCATTAGTTTGACAATCGACATTATTTGACTTCAATCACCTTGAAAAAATACGCAATTTCATTTATTGGTCAAATGAAAAATCTTTCTTTATTTTTGAAAAAGAAAGCTAGTTAGATAAAATTTTCTACTCTGGACGGTCGTCCAGTGCTTCCAGGTTTTCTATGGTGGTCTAGCTTCAATTGACTCATGATCTCAATTATTGAAATATTCATTTTTATTTAAATTATTATATCATATACGTAGTAACTGTATATTGGTTACTGTTTTTTTTTAAATTTTTAGTTACGTGATCCAAAAGGTGTGATTTCTTGTTTAGATCGAGCGGCTAGATTTGCCAAAGAATGTATGGATACTGCTGTTCGTGCACAATTATTTATTGATATTCTTAATCTATCTGTTAATCTTCGTTTATCTGGTTGTGAACAAGTAAATATGATTTTATTATTGTTATCTTGTATTTTTATTTCGCGCCCCTTTTTTTTGCTACAGATTAATATTAATATGATAATATTTTGTTTGCAAACTATTCAGGAGGAGTAAATCACATTGATTTCTTAACCAATACTTGAACATTATCGCTTTAACCATTTTATATATATTTTTGACCAGTGTTTACTTGACCATTACATTTTCAGTCAGCTACAACATAGGACCAGGCACATATATACATCAGTTCAAGTTGCCATATCGCATTAGCACAACATGATGAATACCGGATTCTTAAAAGTAGTTAATTCAGTGGTGGTAATATATAAAAGAAAGATTGTGTATAAGGATGTAGTACATGAAGGAAAGAATTAGTTCATGGAAAGAAAGATATGAAGTAATTTTAATCTCATAGTTTAAAGGAAGACAGAGAGTGTATACACCATTACTATCCACGAACATAAAAGAACCAATATAGGAAGGATTATAGCTAGATGTTAAGAAACATAAGCATTTTAAGATTTCAGTGCGACTATTTTCATTATTTTGGAATTACTCTATACCTAGCGAACAAAACTGGTCATCTATCGGTCTATTTTTATAAGTCTTGTCGACCATAGTATTTATTCGACTGGTTTCTTTAAAAATGAAAGTAATTACTCTAGTACTATCGCTCCTGACTATTTCAAATCTCTACGTAAATTTGAAAATGAGTTATCTATCTGAATGTATCTACGCTACCTTGTATATACCCAACAAATGATTCTCCACAACTAATTATTAAAATATAATGGGTAATGTGTTGGTCAAAGTGTACCGTGATCAACTCAGGAACGAAGACAGACATATCCAGCTTTATTATGCATGTGAAGTTGACTCTATTCTAGAGTCACTTACTGACTGACTGCTCGTAGCTTAGTGTTCATAAACTATTATTTGACCTAATTCGATCCTTGACTTGTCGAATGATCGTGTCGATCCGAGTATCACGTAACCCACTATCATAGTCTAGTGATCTATTGAGTTTATTGTTGAAGTATCCAGTCTAATATCTAGTGTATTATCAAGTAACCCACTATCGAATGCAAGGCTAGGATCAATCAAGCTCACTTCCATTATACCAATGGGATCGAGAATATCTTTGATGTTTTCCAATTTTTCGTTCTTTGCTTTCAAATTGTCAGAAGTTAATTTCTTGTCAAAATTAATACTCATTTATAGTGGATGATGTTTTGAAGCATATCGTTGTACAGCGTTAAAACTGAAAGTAGCAACTTATGGTAACCCATTTGACTCCAATGAAATATAGGTCACTGGTTCAATCTTATATATTCTTAATCATGTCTTATTGACCAACGGAAAAATAAAAATTGGATACGAAATTCCACTGAAACAGTACATTTCCTGATAAACCATGAGGGGGCAAACATGTGTAATATGAATATTGGTCTGGGCCAAAGTTGTACACCTGACGCAGCAGTAAGGTGTTCTCCACAGACAACTAGTATACTGCAGCCTTTCTATGACGGGACAAGGCTAAAAAAGACCGAGTACGGCGCATATATATTTGGCGCCCCCTTGTACCAATATTTATGTGTTCAAATAAAATTTAAAAGAAAAGACCAACCTTGAAAAGAATACCTCATCTTGTTCTAGATTCCCGTCGCCGGCAACGTGTCCTTAAAGGACAGAGCTAACATATCTAGAACCTTCACAAAGCAAACTATTTGTCAATAGCCTGAAAAATTTGTTCCTTAAGCCACGCTTCCAAGTCGTTAGGACCTACTCCCAACACAAATCATTTTAGGTACTTCGTGTAGTAGTATAGGCAGCTGATAAATGATATCCGCCCTCATACTTCTGATAGAGCTCGAGATCAGCATATTCATGGTGCTCAAATGCATATTTTGACTGAATAATAAATGCACTAAATCACTTAGTGAACCAACTATCATCATCAAAGATGGTCAGTCTTGTTTATCTTCCTGTTACAATTGTTTTATACTATTCTATTTATACTTTTCACTTACAAATATATTTTCGCCATGTTCTGTTTTGTCTTTTTTTTCTTTGCAGATAACTGATGACCGAATAAATGATATCATTAGTGAGATTAGGAATTTACTGAACAGTTTGGAACCATCTCCTGTCACTGATCATATAACAGTACATTTTAAGAATACTTTAAATTATATACGATATGAACAACAACAACAGACTACTACTGCTGTCAGTGATTCAGTCAGCATCAGTGTTGATACTGATCCCGATGTTCAGTCATTAAGTAGCAAACTATTTGCATCTGTTCAATTATAATGACAGAATGGTTCTGTTTACTATTATTAACATTCTTATTACATAATGTGTAATAATTTAGTTCAGAAAAATAACTGACATTTCTTTCTTTTGAAAAATACAACTATTGACTACTAGTCTCACAGGATCTTGTGTTTCTATATGTTTTGTGGGTGTATTTTCATTCCGAGTGATTTAACATAGAGAAAACGATGCCAAACGGTGATCATTCAAATCATTTCGATTCATCTGCTTAATTTATTCGTTTTTATATATATCACATAAATTCGTCTTCCTTTGGGGACCTTCATACGTTGTCTGTCAGATATATACATGGTGTATACAGATACACATAAATAACCTGTCATGTATGATTGGTGATTTATAGTTGTCCAAAACCTGCATTTTGATTTCTCTCAATTTTAATAATTATGTAACTTTCATTTATTGTGACAAAGAAATTGTGTTGCTATGCTAAACTTTCTTGACAAATGTTGTCTTTCGTGTAGACATTTAATATTGTACCACATTAAATGAATATTATTTCTATGCTTCCTTCCTTTCCAAAGAATCATTTATGTGTGTGTCTGTTTGTAAAACTAGTTTTATGACTGTCCATTCCTATTAAATATGCTGATCTTTACTTCACTAGTCATATAAAAAGATGATTTCATTTTTTTCTTAATTTGATTTAACACTACTTACGATTCGAATACATGTTAGTTTCGAGTAGATTCATTTGATTTTTCATTAAAAATAACTGATCTTAGTAATGTTATTACATTGGTCATTATTGTGTTACTGAACTGTTTCATATTTTTAAGTAATGTGCGTAGGGGTATGTCTTACCGTGTTCCGATTTCCCCTTTGCAATTAAGCTACAGCGTAAAATAATAGAAACAACGTTATGCTTCTTTAAGATACTGATATGATGTGAATTGATTCGATTACCTGGTTGATATGAATATGATTAGTCAACTAACTTTTATGGGAGCATTCAACTAACAAATCAATGAAATCGCTTCCAGAAAAAAACTCAAACAGATATTGTAAATCTTGATTCGTTACGTTTAGAGACAAAAAATAAATGCAAAGTTTTCTTCGGTGAGTTATTCGATACTCACGTACTTGTAGGACTGAGCTTTGTCTATGGATACTGAATTTATCTTAGATCTACTATCATCAACTTTATGGAATAGTATTATGTTCTGTGACAAATATTGAGTATTGCGCAACTTTTCTAAAACAATCTTAATTTTGAAGTGCACGCTTGATCAATGCATTAAATGTTATCAAAATTTGTAATCAGTTGAATCATCGGTTAAAAAAAATGAACCTGGCGATAATCATTTGTGATATGGCGAATAATAATTTAATCAGTCAGGGTGCAAATGACATATGAAGTTGATTTCTTTTCTTCAGTTTTATGTGACATATATTCACAACTTAAGAAGGATTATTATTATTATTATAAGAAGCTTTATTCAACATCATACTTTTCGTACAACATAGAATTCTCAGCCTAATTATATAATATGCCAAATGTATGTTCACACCCAGCCGTTGCTGCTACCTTGAAGTGGTGGTTGTGCTTGCCTATCGTGATGAACCAGTCAGGCTATACTGGCTGTAATAGTTGTTCCTCAAGGTCCTATCATCCCAGGCAGGTCGGTTGAAGACCAGTAAGACTAAAAGCAGCAAACCAAAGGCGAAGTCGTACTGCTGACTGCACAAAAGTGTGACGTCGGTAAGATGTTTTCTTCAGACAACCAACATAACAGCGATGCTGCCTTCCCACAAGCAGGGATGTGGTTAGGAAAGGTCGACCTTAAAAATGCAAATCTCGCCTTATCCCACGGACATCCATCTCCGGCGGTAAGGTCTCAACAAGTACGGAGGTAACAAAAATGTCGTGTGTGACCGGCCTCAAGCAGTTGTCTCTTGGGAACTGCGGTCACATTCAGTTCACTAAGACAAACTCTAACCTGATTTCCTCTTCAAGTACCTCTAGAAGAACCCTTTCACGGTGTGGGAGACCGGGAAGTGATAACGCCCTTATACCTCTAACAGCACTACTCAAGATTGACGTTTTAATTCTATTTAGCGTATACACCAGTAACATTATTATGAAGCATTGTTTATATTAAAAGAGTAAACAGTTAATAATCTCACATATACAGTATTTATTTCCTATTATGTATAGATAAAACCCGAGGAAATTAATTAATTACAATATAAAAATAAAAATAATTTTATGTCAGTTTGTGTATGTTACATAAATCAGATGATTGATCTAGAAATAAGCATGAAAATATATCATTGAAAAAGTTCGAATGATAAAGACATGCTCTTTCACAATCTGGTGAAAAATTCACTTCACATACTACAGGATATATATCTTTTTGATTAGATGAAGCATATCCATTTGAACGCCATTCCAATAGTATATCAACAGCATATAATGCTCGAGATTGGACATTATGACTTAGACCACGTGGTGGTGGATATTTTGTGGCTGCTTGAAAAATTTCAACTAGAAGTCGATGTATTTTTAGCTATATGAAAATTAATTTTTAAAAAAAGAAAAAGAAACATTTCATAAATTAGGTTGCTTAAAAATAATAGCCAACATAAGCAAAGATGGATAGTGGCTAGCAGTGGGATCCAGGACGAGCGTTTCGTTTTATTTGAGACTCGTCAGATGGGTGTACCATCTGTGAGTTGATGTTCACTCTGGGACTCGAAGTCAGTACCGTTCACTTCAGACACCATCGCGTTATCCACTTGCTTGTGCAATGGGGTAAAGTTATATTCAGTTGGTGTTGTTTACTTGTATCTTCCCATTGTTATTTAGGACTGCAACTGATCAGTCTCTTGTTGAACATCAACTCTGGGATGCAGGCACATCCAGCCGACGAGCCCCAAATAGGACGAAACGCGCGTCCTGGATTCCACTGCTAGCCACTATCCATCTTTGCTCATAAATCTTATGACTTCAGGTAATATCGAGGCAGTCCGCACAGGATGCATATGCCAACAAGAGACTGGTCAATTGGAGTCCTAAATAACAATCGGAAGATAAAAGTAAACAACACCAAGTTAATATTCAACATGTTTGAGATTGTAATATATAATTAAAATATTCATAACAAATAGAATTATCTATTAAGAGTTTTCTTGACTATTAATTAAATATTCAACAACCTCTATAATCCCATACTGATAATTATCATATGCTCACTAGTGGCTAGTTTCGAGAGGGAACTTTCAGAGTTCTAGTGAGATGCTGTAACCAGTAGAGCTAATTCGCATCGAGTGTAAGACATTTCGAGACATGAATGACATCGTTAACACATAATTAATATCCCCACAATCAAATCTAGTTAGTGAATATTTGTCAAATTAGAAAAAAAAACATTAATGTTGACTTGAACATATAAGTTTCAACCGAAGAGACATTTTCAAAATTACTATTCAACTAATTGACTTATCATAGTTTATATTGCTGGTAGATCTTAGTCGGACAGCTACTGAAAACTAGAGTGTTGAACAGCTGTTTCATTCGAGTATACTAATGGGTGACAGTTCAATTGTTTAAAGGTTAACGGCATATAGTGAGACCTATAAGTCTTAGGTCACAGATGCGCACTGTTGAGGATTCCCATGCTAAGACGAAGGAGCTATCCGGTGCTTATTAGTTTTCAGTGGTTTTTTAAACGAATATCGGTGAGTGATGCAAACTATGAAGTTCAACGATCTCCACAAGTCTCTTACACTGATAATAATTTCAGAGTAATTGCTATCACTAAGTTACATCAGTTGAAGAATAATTGAAAATGAGAGAATATTAGACAGTTTTGTAGCAATTAAAATACATATAGGGGGATATTGAAAGATTGAATCATAGGTCCCAAATAGTAGTAGTATAACACTTTGGGTTATACGGTGAAAGGTTTACAAAGTTGGTTTCATTTTTTAAATACACTTTAGAATTGTTTATCTTTGTTTATAAAGTTGTTTATTCCATGTGTAGATTAGCTGATAGGTTATAAACAGCAATTAATCATCACAGAATGATAATGGTTCCATTTAATAGAAATGCAAGTTACAAAACAGAATTACTAAGATAGACAGTAGTAATAGGAAAGTTTATAATACCTCAATAGTTGACCATTTGTGATCTGGATATTGTTTATCGAACAATTCAACGAATTCATCGCAATGTATCTGAAAAATTCAAGAATAAGATGGTTATTATTATTATGATGACGATGCAGATGTATTATTACACACATTACTAACAACTGTTTAATGACTGGGTAGTGACAAAGGTTACATCTCTCTGGCAGCTAAAATAAACGTGACATTGGTCACGAAACCTAGGTTAGACAGGGATTCCTGTTGACTATACCTAACCACATAACATTGAGTTGTTTTTTCCAGTTTGAAATTTCGACTCAACAACACATCGCATCTATGCTGAAAACGAAGTACATAGATGTGGTTGGGCTTGAAAGAATGTTTGGTCAAATATATTGTATTGAAGAAGAAATTCAAACACATTTACCTTGTCAGTTTTGTAAAATGTATACGGTTATAACCAATTTGTATATTATTTATAATTTCATGGATAAAATATTTATTTACGAAATTGAACGACACATCCATCATTATCTTCAATGACTTACTAACTCACAAAAGACCTGGTTGACCTCCATCGGTCACTACTTCTCACTGTAACTACAGGTGGGATCGTGGATGCGCCCTGCTGAGGAGTCCCACAATAGGATGAAACGGCCATTCAGTGCTTCCAGGTTTTCCATAGTAGTCTAGCTTCAATTGACTCGTGATCTCAACCATTGAAATTACTATAACATCCACAAAAATCCTTCTGATATAAAAATATTTATTCATAACTATAAATAAGCTGACATATATTTTGATATTGAATATGGAATTTATACTACTGACTAGTGTAAAGTTAAGATGATAATGAACAACATATTTACTACTTAAATAAGAATAATACTTAGTATACATAATATGTTTATAATACTTACTTGTTTCAAATTGTCAGCTGAACGATAATTCATAACTGTGAAATGTCGATCATATGAGTCGAAATCGTCTAAAATAAATGGTCTGTATAAAGGAAAGAGAGCAAAGTATTCCAGAAAGAAAGAAAGAAAAAATGAAGACAAATATCTTATTTATACTACTAACAACAACATGTCAATATTTATATGAGATATATTAAATTCATATGATAAACTATTTCTAGTCTTAATAAACAAACAATAAATTATACAAAGATAATCAGAGAGAGAGAGGTTTTGTGGAGATTATAGTAATTTAATACTTCAATTCATGAGTCCATTGAAGCTAGACCACCATGGGAAATCTGAAAGCACTAGACAGTTGTTTCATCCTAGTTTGAATCTTGCACGACAGATTGTGGATGCACACTGCTGAAGAGTCCCATACTAGGATGGTGGTCTAGCTTCAACTGACTCATGAATTCAATTATTAAATTATACAAAGATATCATATTTTTGTTATACGCTTTAATAATGAGACAATCGTTTATGGAGGACTTTTGAGTGACATCGAAGTGATCCTGAGAAAATTCATCTACCTGCTATGGGTTTAAAGAGGATTATAAAGTAGCGTGAGAAATAGAAAATTGGGATTTAGAATTAGGGTTTTCATCACAAAATAACACAAGATATAATGCTATTTAGCATAAATGAATTTTGCGCCAAAATCCAAGACTCGTTAACTTAAATCTGAATAGTTCATCCATAAATAATAGTCTTGATCTTTTTAATATATTCTAGATATTACGTTTTCTGTACATGTATCTTTTCATATCATATTCTCAAATGTTTAGTCATTTTCATTATCATTTCTACCATATCATTTCGAGTTGTTGTGCTAATATGGTATGGTGATATAATGTGCTAGTGCAAATTCGCGTCACGTTTGATATTAAAATAAGATATAAAAACACATTTTCAAGTAACTGAGTTTCATCCTATACTGACGCTAAACATATCTGAGTAGATAATTTGAAGTATGAATGGTTACTTATTATGTCACTAGCCTAAACACCTCAACTGTTGATCATATTAGAATTGAAAGTCCACTTGTTCAGTCAAATCGCGTAATCTACCTTCTTCTGTAGAATTTTAACAATTGTCTCTGTTAATATCAATCAATGGAAAATAATGGATTTAAAATGTGGATAAAGCTTACTGTTATAACTTGTGACCGCCAATTAGGGGACAGTGACTTATCGATCGGATCAATGACGCGTAAACCCGTATGAGCAGTCTAGAGACCTGATTGGTCCTACTTTCCGCCTAGCCCAGCCAGTTAAGTCCAGAACACCAATCCGAGCCTCTGCTATATGAATCATTATATTTCAAACATACTGAGTTTATATACCAATCAAACAGACTACAACGTACCATAAAATAGAAAACAACATTTGTACAAGATTTGGCCAAATGTGGCTGTGAATGTGGGAGACAATGACTAATAGACGGGCATAATGGTCAAAATCAAGCTTATAATAAGAGGAATATAAATAGTATAGTTATTTAACAATTATACGATAAAAATATACTTCGTTGGTCTCGTCAGCTGCTTACAACCTGTGATATTTAAAATCATAATTACATAATGGGTTTTAATTACTTACATGAATGAGTTTGATTAGAAGTTATATTGAAGACATATTCGTATAGTATAGCAAGGGTGTTAATAAATTTAATAGACTGAATATTGTAAATATATATCTTATGTAAAAGAACATTGTACAACAGTTCAAACGGCTAGAACAAGTAAACATTAATAGGAATAAAATGAGTAGAGTTCAATTGATAAAATAAGATTATTAATTTGGAAGATAGATGGAATAAAATTCAATGTGATAAGTGCAAGAAAGAGTTTAAAGAGAAAGAAAAAATATATATATTAAGATACAGCGAAGGAATATTAGTCACCAAGGCAAGAAAAGATTAATAACCATCTCCTTTTGAACACATATATTAGGTTTTTGGCGTCTGATAGCAACTGCTTCAGCAAACTTCAAAAGTCCGGAGTTTGGCTGTTTCCTAATCATCTTGAATGATTGTAGGGTATCGACCTGATGTCCTGTATCAAGAAGATGTTTGGTGATTGCACTATTTAGAGTTTTTCGTTCTCATATTCTGAGGCTTTCTGGAACATGTTCAAAAAATCTGAGATATGCCCTCCCTCCTGTTCGGTCAATGTAGCTGCTTTGGCAGGTAAACGTAAATTTATAAATACGATTGGCGGTAACATGAAAAAATGCTTATCAACCTTTGATTGAGTTATTGAACATGTTGTTTTATACAGAATTAAAGTTTAGCCGCCGGATAAGTTCTGGCTAGCGCAGTATTCCGTTTTCCTGTTGATTGTGTTTGCAACATCATCACCTTTGAAGTTAGGATTTATAGTTATTGGTTTTTTATTGACCGTAATTACTTCAGTATTGTTTTTTTTTACGCTTTTTATATTTGTTAATAAACCTTTGTGGGTAAAAGTTGTCTCGTAGACATTTTTCCACGTTCATCGATTTTCTTCCAGTTTGTCAGTGGTATATATCCTTTCTGCCCTATAAAATAGTGTTTTAACTAATGCCTTCTTGTAACTGAGTGGACAAAAACTATTGAAATTCACGTAAAGGCCATTCCAAGTATTTTTCGATAAAGCGAACGTTGGACTGTTCCGTCTCTCCTACATTTTTTAGCGACATCATTATGTAATTATGATTTTAAATATCACAGGTTGTAAGCAGCTGACGAGAACCAACGAAATAAAAATGAATTCATGCTATTCTGCTAGAATCTTTGTTCTTGCTCTTTTCATCAGTCAGCTACAACGTAGGACTAGGCACATTTATGCATCGGTCTAAGTTGCCATACCTCATTAGCACAATATGATGGACACCGGATTCACAAAAGTAGTTAATTCAGAGGTGGTAATATATAAAAGAAAGATTGCAATAAGGATATAGTACAGGAAGAAAGAATTAGTTCGTAGAAAGAAAGATATGAATCGTTTTAAATCTCCTAGTTTAAGGGAAGACAGAGAGTGTATACACCGATGCTCTTTTCATAAAAATATACGTTTAGTATTGGTCCATAATGGATCCCAAAGTTACCATGTATTATGCTTATCGGGACATAACACTTACTTATTTGCAAATCGAAGCCAAAATACTTTATATGTGTACAGAATTAACGGTTTGACAGAACGTAATAATACCACATAGCGTATATCAAATTTCACATTAGCTTGTAGGTCGTTACGATAAAATAAAACAGGATCTGTGATATATCGACTAGCGATCTAATAGAATAACATAAAACAAAACAAAGCAGAATTAAAATGGTAAGTGTCAAAAATATAGGTACAGTACCGACCGTGGCTGGTACCTTGATTTAATGATTAGGTTTGAATATCGTAATAATGTGAATAAGTTATGTTAGGTGAGACACATATTGATTTAAACTTTATTAGACCAGTTAGGTCAGTTGGAGAATAGTGAGAATAAAAACAATAACTTAAGGCCCCAGGAAAAAATAGTACTGATGGATGTACTAAGGTGTAACAGCAGTAAGGTGATTTCCTCAGACAACCAGGTTGAAGAATTATTTCCTCCCACAACGGGAGAAGAGCGTTAGAAAAGGTCAGCCATGACCTTCTTTTATAAGTGAGATTGAAATACAGGGTTTTCTAACGAAAATTCCAAACTATTAACACGAAGAGAGAGTTTGCAATGTAATTTGTCAAAGCTGACCACAAGAAATGTTTCTATTGCATAATAATAAAATAGTAACATATTTTGAATCAATAGTTCTAATGGTATTATGATGAGCGACGTCATAACTGATTGGAAAGTAGATGAACTAAACAAAGCTGATTTCCTCCAATGGCCAATGATATTCTAATCATATTTATTTTTATGTTAATAGTTTCTACATAAAACATCAAAGAACGTATTATTTTGGCTAGTGATCTTGTATTTGATCGCAAATAATTTATGGGGAGATTTGCGAACAGATATCCCCTAACCGTATTGCATTTCATCGATCGATCAGAGTTGAATTCATTCATTTTACTAATTGTCACTACGGTTCGCTTATCAAATACTCTTCCATTAAAGCCATGTAAATTTGCATTAATTTGACTTGGCGATCATTTCATTTTCTGAAGAAGCAGCTTACGATAAGTTGCGAAACGTCAGAAACATAAAAAAATTAATTTTATACTCAATGGGATGTAACAGATATATTTTTACTATTACTGTTATTATTGCCATAAACTATCCCCTCTAATGTTCAATTTATTTGAAGTTATGTTTGTATTATATATTTATAGCGTGAATAAATTCTCTTACCATTGGGTTAACATCACAAGTTTTTATTATTCTATCCAAATTGTCAGTAATCACAATTCCAACACCTCGACCAAGATTCCAAGGCTTCAATATCCATATATTATGTTTATCATTTCTTCCACGTTCATCATTAGTACTAATGATTTTATTCTACAGAAAGATGATTTTGTAAAAGGAATACAATTTATGATACAATAAGGAAAAATAACACTTAACTGTATGAATACAAGTTATGCTGAAATGGCATACTCTGATTTAGATAGTTGGTCATGAAACTTTAATCCTGATTCTAGACAACCATTATTAGTACAAACTTCAAATAGAAATAAGCTATGAGAATTTCTTGACATATGATTAACAGTTCGTTCTGTAATTTTTGGAACTGACTGATGATTGCTGTTAAAATTCAAGGTCGAAAGAACAAGCTCTTAGTCACAGTGACTAATTTAAAACTAAATTATACGGAATCTTGAAGAGTGGAAGAAAATTTACTCTATGGTAGAAGTAACAATCACCTTTATGAATCTAATATCAATGTCCTAGTGATTAAAACAACTGACTTTCAGTACTGGTAGCATATAGACTCGAATCCCATTCTATCTATTTCAATTTATAGAATCAAATATTATCAGTAACCTTCACTAGAAAAGTGGCTTGATATTAAGCATATTAATGTATTTAATTGAAAAAAAAACAATAAACTTACATAATTCGATTGGAAATAAGCACAAAATTGTGGAAGTTCATACACTAAGTTAAATGTAACTGGATACCAATTGGTTGAAAGTTTGCATCAGTATTATCATTATCATGCATTAAATCGTTTGATTGTTGTAAATAGGTTTCCTTAGCTATACTAGCAGCTAAACTAGCTAGATAATCCTTAACAGTGATGACGTGCTCACCAGGGAACTGATTAATATACGTATTTGGACTGTCTACAGATAATCGTCTATCCAAAAATAAATAAATAGAAAATGAATAGCAACAATAGAAAAAAGATAATCTGAGTGTATATAGAGAGTGTTATATCATTGAATAACACTTGAAATTATATGCATAAATGAAAAAAAGAAAGGAATAAAAAATAATACGTAATTTGAGATAGACAGGAGGAAACCTTGAATATGTAATTCGTACTAGCTGGTATTTATCCGCAAAGTGCATCTGTAATCTTAAGGGGACTGACAGTCGATGGGATTCGAATCCGGGTCACTCAGTTTCACACACTGATACCATTCAATTAAGTTAGTAAGACTGTGGCTGACCTCCTGTAGGATTGAGATACTTACACTGACTGATGTTACGCACGTCTAGTCTTTAGTGCTCATGATATTCTATCGACCAAGTTGTAATAATAATAACAATGCAACTCACTCACTTATCAGGTGCTATTTGTATTTGTACTATACGAGTACCAAAAACGAAGTAGATAGAGTAGGAATTTAAACAAGCGGCCTACTGGTTGAAAGTTTAGCACTTTGATCATACTTATCGTAAATATAAAAATAACATCAGTGAAATAGTTACAAAATCACTAGGTCACAGCGTGCTCCCAAATACCCTGATACGGCCGAGAGTGGAGAGTTCGCTCTCCCTCTCCAAATGCTCTCACATAACCACGCGTATATAGCCCCTGTCAGGGAAGTCCTACTCACTGCCTTCTCGTCAAGGGGGTGTTAATTACGGAATTGAGAGGATGAAAAGCAAATATCGGGCGCTTTAACCGAGATGGTGGACACGGAGAGTCCACCTAGGGGAGTTCGAAAACCCTCACTCCAAACCAGTGGTGCACATTGACTCCAGTACCCTAAAGGAACAAATGGCGTATGAACCAATCGTTGGTCACCTGCTACAATGGGACTGAATCTCCTTACAATGCTTCACTACCTTGTGGATCAGACTTTTAGGTCGAGTATGGCCCCCTAAGGAAACCACCTACTTCGGTTTGGGCGCCTAAGCAGTATCATATCCCTCACACAAATCACATGACATTTGTGTGGCGCATATGTATCTGGCGCCCTCTTGTACCAATATTTATGTGTTCAAATAAATAAATAAATAAATAAATAAAAGATCACAGCGAGATTTCAATCCTCAAAAAGAAAAACTCTATCAATTTAAGTCATTTTCATAGAACAAAACGAAATATTAAAAAAAAGATTTTTCATTGAAAAATAACTAATACTATATGAATAAAACTAACTCAAAATCCTTGAAATGTGTATACATCCAAATAATATCAGCTTTATCTGGTGAATCAACAAAAGTAAATTGTGAATGAGTTAAATATTGTTTAACTTGATTCCAATCCGTATAAACAGTAAAATATTCTCGTTTAATTGGTTCATTCATTTGACATATTGGTAATGTTTCTTGTACTCGATGAGACTGTAAACAAAAAAACAAAAACAAAGTGTTTAAATAATGAGGAAAAAATAGCTACAAGCAAAGTTTATCCGAATTCAGTAACAGTACATAATAGATTTATTTAAATTACTAGTTAGTGGAGCTGTGATTTATGACGTTTAATCACCAAGTCGTAATTTGTGATGATGACCTACCAAACTTGGTTTGGAAGATTGAGCAACATATCTCGTACACATAAAATGGAGTTCGAAACCAAGTACATGAATATGTAAGTGATAAATGAGTTTACAATAAATGCATATATATATAGGTCTCAAGCTATGAATTATACCATTACTGATTTGAAATCCACTAGATTACATACCAATTATCATGGAGTTCTTACACGATTTTTTAGACAGTACAATGAATTATAAAGCGACAGTTCACTTCTTAAGATTTAGTGATATTGTATCTCGAAAAAAAATGAAACGGAACTTATAGCTCTGTAACATGTGTCGAAAATTTCATTATACGTGAAATTTCACGTGCAGTGAAAGTCAGAGCGGCTTATGCTAATCTGGATCATCTTTGGTGCATTCGTGATGTTAGTCTGGCTGTAAAAGGCCGGATCTACAACGCGTCAGTGGGAGCAGTTTTGCTCTATGTTTGTGAAACCTGGCCTCTCCAAATTGAGGACGTTAGACGACTCTCTGTGTTCGATCATCGTTGTCTCCGAAGGATTGCTGATATCCAGTGGCAACACCATATTAGTAATGCAGAGGTTCGGCATCGTGTGTTCGGGCACAGCGACGATAATTCAGTTAATGTCATCATCTTGAAACATCGACTTCGGTGGCTTGCACATGTTCTACGAATGTCATATCAGAGAATTCCACGTCGTGCATTGTTTGCTGACGCTGAGACTGGTTAGAAAATGTGGAGAGGTGGTCAGTGTATGAGATGGTGTCGTGGTATGATAGAAAGCTGCAAAGGACTGACTTCTATTGGTCGTTCACGACTCCCTGGCTGGGGTCCTTGAGATAGTGCAACACAGTGGCTAGAGATGTTATCAGATATGGCTCAGGACAGAAGCCAGTGGCGATCCTGCTGTAACTTTCTCTTACTTTTCTCATAGAAAGTGATTGTAACTTCCTTAACTGAAGGAATTCTTTCTGGTTGTACCCTTCCGTTTCCCCCATTATTATTATTATTATTACACTACCATACATTAATTTGTGGTTGTTATTGTTTTCCTCCCTTTTTTTCTTATACGCACCTTAACTTCTTTTTCTCTTCCCATTCTCACTGTTTTGTTTGGCGCATATATATATGGTGCCCGCTTGTACCAATATTTATGTGTTTGTTATAACTCTTGTCTTCTTACGGTTATGACCCAGCTATTCCTATTGCTTAGTATTCTCGGACACCGATTCACTCGACAAGTCCCCAAATCAGAACACGGTTGAACAGGAATAAGATTATATTCCAAATAGCAAGTCAGAAGCATAATAGGGAAAAACGTCAGTATATTTATAGTTTTTTACATAAGAAGATTCCAGAATATTCTCCGACTATCGACTGTTGCTGATTGGATAAGAATCAGCCAATCAGCGTGCAGCAAAGCAATCATGCATTGAGCATGCTTTAATCTAGTCTATGTCCCGCTAACACCTCCCCTCTGAGCAGATTCGTAGGATCTGGTGCTAGGGTCCAACTGCAACCGAGTGACTGGCCTGTGCTTTCGATTAGTCCATCGTCTAGGCAATAGAGAAGTATCACTCTTTTCTTGCACAGAAACTGACGTGTCTATTCCCGGCGTTTTGATTTCAAAGGTGTCTAGCAGAACATCAAGAGGTAATCGATATTGAATCTTGTTGCTGGCTATCGAAGTTGCTTTCAATTGGTTAGCATGACGTACCCAAACTTCCGAGCCAACTGACACCTCGTAAACCACACTCCCCTTCTTTTTCACGATCCGACCAGCTGTCCATGTAGGATGTTTCCCACGATAGTCCATAGCAAGCACTTTTTGTCCCACCGTGAACAATCGTCTTTGTGCCCCATGATGTCGGTTAAACTGATTCTCCATCGATAGGTTTCGTTGGGGTTCAATAGCTGGCGTAGGACGGATGACATCGAAATGTGTTCGTATCTTTCTGCCAAGTAGAGCTTCTGCTGGAGAGACCCCGTTAATTGTCTGAGGGTTCGGTGTAGAGCGATAAATAAACAGGAACCTCTCTAAGATATCTTCAGTGGTCCCTTCCCCTTTGGATTTTTTTAGAGCATTTTTAAATGTACTCACAAAGCGTTCCACTTGGCCATTTGATTGGGGATGGAATGGAGGTGTTCGCAGGTGCTGGATTCCGTTCTGCCGACAAAATTGTGAGAAGATTCCGGACGTAAACTGTGTTCCGTTGTCACTAACTATCAATTCCGGGATTCCAAAACGACTGAATAGTTGACGTAGTTTACTGACTGTGCAGCTTGCAGTCGGGTGTTCCATGAGAAAAATTTCTGGCCACTTGCTATATGCATCAACCACCAAAAGGTAAGTTTGTCCATGAAGTGGACCAGCAAAGTCCAAATGTATACGCTGCCACGGTAACTGTGGTATTGGCCATGATTGCAGCTCTGCTTTTCGCGGTGCTTTTGTTGCTAATGCACATTTGGTACACGAACGGGATAGCTGCTCCAGTTGGGTGTCTAAATGCGGCCAGTATACATAACTTCGTGCTAGTGCTTTCATGCGATTTATTCCAGGATGTCCTGCATGCAACTGTTCAAGCACTGCTGGTTGTAGCTTCTTGGGAATTATGACACGTTCGGCAAACAGCAGACAGTCATCGATGATTGAAAGAGAGAGTCTTCGCTGGTAAAACTGTTGAAGCTCTGTGGAACTGATTTTCGAGGGCCACCCTTCTAGGTGGAACTTTCTAACTTCTTGTAGTGTTGGGTCTCGAAGCGTTTCTTCCCTGACTTCATCTGACGACACTGGAGTGTTTCGAATGGCATCTGCCACTATACTTCGTATTTCTGGGTCTACTGCTGTGGAGGCAATGATTATATCCTCTGGTCCAGGATGTTGAACTCCAATTAATCGGGAGAGAGCGTCAGCTTGACCGATAGTATTTGTCGACTGATACTTGATATTAAAATCATAACTCAGGAGCATTGTTGCCCAGCGCTGTAGTCTATTAGCCGTATAGACAGGGATTCCTTTCTTAGAACCAAAGATTGCAATCAAAGGTTTGTGATCTGTCAGTAGAGTAAATGTACGACCATAGAGCATTTTATGAAATCTTTTGACTGCGAAAATGATTGCAAGAGCTTCCTTTTCAATTTGGCTGTAGTTTCGCTCGGCTGGAGTAAGTGATCTAGCAGCATGGGCAATTGTCTTTTCTGATTTATCCGGAAACACGTGAGATATCACTGCTCCAACTCCATGACTAGAGGCATCAGATGCAACAACAATTTCCAAGCTGGGATCGAAGTGCGTCAAAAGAATCTTTGAGCTGAGCATTGATTTGACTCTGTCAAAAGATGCTTGACATTCTGCTGACCACTGCCAAGGTTTATCTTTCGATAGTAATTCATTTAGGGGACCTCTCACTCGATGCATTTCAGGCAAGAATGTGCTGTAATGACTGATTAACCCCAAGAAGGATCTTAATGAAGAAACATCAGTTGGTGCAGGCATCTTCTGAATGGCTTCGATGTTGGCAGGGTCTGGTCGGCGACCGTTCTTATCTAAGATAAAACCAAGGTATTTGATCGAATGCATGAAGAAGATACATTTTTCCTCACGTAGTTGGAAACCATACTCCAACACTCGGTTAAGGACTTGGTGTAGTCGATCAGAAAGTTCACTGTCAGTTGAACCCATAACTATGATATCATCTAGATAAGCTGCTGTACCAGGTATACCTGTTAGCATCGTATCCATTATTTGCTGAAAGATGGCGGGTGCGGTCTTGATGCCAAATGGTAGACGGGTGTATTGAAATAACCCTCGATGAGTGTTAATGGTCAGAAGCTCTCTACTATCTTCATCTACTTCCACTTGGAGATAAGCATCGGAGAAGTCTATTTTCGCGAAACATGTCCCACCATTAAGCTTGGCAAACAGGTCTTCCGGAACTGGTAAGGGATCGAAAATGTACTGTTAAGGTATCGTAAATTAACTTAGAAACGGTAAATTATTGATATAACTGTTTAAATTAAATTGAATATAAGAGAATTAGTTATTACCCTTACATTGAACAAAATAACCGTTGCTTACGGTTATTGTTTAGGCAGTAAACCTATCATTAAAGTGATATACATTTAAGAAGCTCATGTATTTAAGGATAATTTAACTTGACATTAACAAAATACAAAAATATAATCATGTAACAAAAGAAAACAACTTCAAATTATATTATAAATTAAATGTTCAACTAGTTTCACTTGCTGTAAAATATTCATCTGTAAAAATGTATGTATGTTCAATAGGTTCATTAGAAAAATCCTCTGGTTCCCAAGGTAATAAATAATAAGATCGTAATTCAGGATTTTTACATGTTCTACATAATCAATTGTAATACTATCTAAATAATAGGAAAAAATATAATCATCTTATTATAGTTAGCTAACAGATTGTTTACTTAGGAAAAAAATAAGTAAATATACTAATTAAAAGGTTTTGATTGAGATCATGAATCGATCAATGTTAGACCACAACTGAAAACTTGGGAGCACTGGACAACCGTTTCGTCCTAGTACGGGACTCTCTAGCAGTGTGTAACCACGGTCGCGCACGTGAGACTTGAACTAAAGGTCTTCCATCTTGCGCGCGAACGCCTAACCTCTGCTAGATTGGATAATCGAACGATCCGCTCAACACAGACTAAATGACATCATATCAGATACCTGATTCATGATCAAGAATAATTACAAGCAGTCACTCTCAATGAGTCTATAATAGAAATCAATAAGAGGAAAGGAAATCACATATTTAATAGACTATCTGTTTACATTTAGTGATCAATCAAATTTATGATCTGATTTCCCAAACCGAAGTAGATGTATCGAGTTTAAAACTTCTTAATGAATTTATGAAAGTTGCTTGTCAAAACAACTAAGTCATAACTCTACATAACATTGTTGAATCTTATTTTTCATTTTAAACTGAGAATGTACTGACTATTGTCAATCTCCTTGATCTACAAAAGATAAATCGTCCTACAATCATACCGAATTACGCGTATCATGTACACCAGAATTCGAACCCAGATCGTTGTAGAAATTTGATAATGATATCAGTGACATTCCTACGGTTACTTCTCAACTATACAAATAGCTTATGCCTTAGATTCGATGAAATTGTACACTAGCACAAATAATAACAATAAAAGTTAATAATTATTATCGTTATCATTATTATTAAGTTTATCATTATTGTTAAGAGTAACAAAATAAATGAAAAGCGGAATGATTACCATTTTTTTGTAAATCTTTAATAGGCCAGAACACAGAGTAACATAAGTTACGTGGTACATAGTAAAATGGTACCATACGAGCTGGAAATATGCAAGTGAAAAAAAACAATTTTTTAAGAGAACTCTAGAATATAAAATACTATTCTGATTTCCTTTAGCCAAACAATTAAAACTTATATAATTAAGTATTGAATAGAAGGCAACCATAATTAAATTTTGAAACAAGCTTATTAAGCCCTAATGTCGACTAACTATTATGATTAGTGGTTGAGATTTGTTATTGGTAAAGAGCAGTCTTAGAAGACAGAATATGGTCAAAACCAGGGCCCGAAATTAATTAAATAAATATAAATTAATTCCCTTAAATAAGCACGTTTAACCAGTCAATATTAAGACTATACATAGACATTTAGTACTGTCAAGTTGCATGTTACTTTACGCCCACTGAATACTACGTAATGACGATTGCTACATTTATCTAGGCCACTTTTTAGTGTTGATCGAATTCTATTGATCAAGTCGTAATGAGATCATTAGTATAAATGACTTGACATCGCATGTACTGTACGATGTTGGGGGGTAATTAATCAATGTTGATATCTCAGTTACACGTCAGCTACGGTACGAACACCTGAGTGGTAGTATCTAAAACTGTGAGGACGAGAGAAGTGGGCTCAAATTCCATAAAGAGTATCAGTCCCCTGAATATTGCGGCACATGCTTTGTTCATGAGTATCGAACAGTACGAAAACCAAGTCCAGAGTTTCCCAGTGATAACCTCTAAACACCGAATATATACATATGCCTGGTATCATTCCTCTTAACCGCTTATACTCTATGCACTTAAGTCAAAATCGGCATGAAAACTTATAGTTCTCATCTTCCGAAAATTTAATACTGACTGATTGAATTTAAAACTTTCATGCATGGTTTGTATTGGCCTTTGTTCTGAAAATATATGGACTTGATAACTAAAGAACCTTAGGTGAAAATTGTTGGGGAAAAATTATTTCCTCAAACAGTTGACTTTGTTTGTTTATTTTATAAATGCCCAGTAAAAATTTACCAATTTAAATTTACATAATAGTAGTCACGCTCATATAGTCTAAATACCTGTAGGCTCATCGGAATGTTGAATACGTGATCCAACTTCATCCAATACATACCACATTATTTGTTGCAACTCAGGTACTTGTGATAACAATGACATATTCTCCTGTGTTGATAATTTGTAATATCGACAATATCTTCCAAGTGAGAATAAACAAAACGTGATTTAGAAAAGTCAAATAGATTCCTAGCAAATATGAAAATTATTATTAACCCATCAACCAGCTACAGACTAGTATACTTGGCATTGCGCCTATTACGATGCCTGAAAATTAAGTCCAACAACTAAATCTTACTTGATTAGAGGATGAATGACCACAAGATAATTTCTTCTAATCGCCTATGGCATTTTATTAATTAGGTATTTAAATTCTGTATATAAGCATGATAGATTATTATGCCAAGGAAGTACTAATCACTGTCTTCTCGCGGCGAGGGCATTGTGTAAGAAATTGAGGGGACAAAAAAACGAATGTCCGGCGCTTCAACCGGGTCGGTAGACACGAAAAGTTCACCTAGGAGAGTTGAAAAACCCTGATTCAAAACCAATAGTGCAAATGGGATACAGGATCCTGTGGAAACAAATGGAGTATGAACCTATCGTTGGTCACCGGTTATAATGGAACTGTATCTCCTGACATTACTCCACTGCTTTGTGGATTAAACCGTCGGGTCGAAGGCTTCGGGTGTGGCCTCCAAAGAAAACAACCTACTTCGGTCTGGGTACCCGTGCAGTATCACAGCCCACACACAAACCAAGTGACTTGTGTGGCGCATATGTATTCGGTGCCCCCTTGTACTAATACTTATATGTTCAAATAATAATAATAATAGTAAATAAATAAATAATCTACTTATCTAGCTAGTGGTCTTCTCTTTGATTGCTAGTCATTAGAGAGCTTATGTTAATAATAGTCTTGCGAACAGCCATTACTCGGTCATTTTACACAATCGCATTTATGTGTCGACCAGCATTGAACTCATAAATTATAAAAGTCGAAAATTCTCTTATCAGGTAATCAAAAACTTCCTCCATAAAAGTGGCGACAACAGTGAGATTCGAACCCCTTCAGGGAAACTCCAATGGATTAATAGTGTTATTGAAATTACAGGAGGCGAACATACATCATACCTCAAGGTTTCTTGTTAGTGTACAGAGCTACACTAAACGATGTACTAACGAATTGGCGATCACCGGCGGAAGTCATCATGGGTCGCAGATTGAGAGCAATCAAGCATCCAATGTTACTGAGATCTAACTATGGAAAACGGTACCATTGAAAACCTCAACATTCGCGACTGAAGCTGTTGTGTTCGCTCGAGATTACAGACCGAAGAATGACACATGGACAGAGGGGTGTAACGCTAAGGCTAGGCTAGGTGATGTACATGGGGTCGGAAAAGACAAACGGACATGAAATCTCAATCAGTTACAGGAACGTATATCATGAGAATGTACGAAAACAACAAGCAACTTACTTCCATACATTTTTACAAATATTTGAAGCGATATCCTCGTTTAGTTGATTTAAAGTATTTATATTCATTAATGAAGCCATTCGTTCTAAGAGACTAGGAAGTTGAAGTAAGCACTCTTTCATAGATTGTACATCAAAAGTCCACGCATGATCAACGAGAAAGATACTAGGATAATTTTGTAAAAATTTATCATATCCTAATTAGATTTTGCATACTTATTACTATCTGATACTAAAAGGTGATCACTACAAACTAAAATATCCCAGTCACGATTAACAGTTAACTCTTCGCTTCCAATTTCATTATCATCACCGTCGTCATTTGTATATTCAATCTGTTGCATCATAACACTTGTGTTAGCATCATATATCTGTAAAAAATATTATTTATGCACAGTAACAAAATCAAATAAAACAACACCTCATGTAAAAGTTTCTCGTGTAGTCTACGCCAAAAGTGACCAGGAATTCCACTTGCTTTTAGTTGATCATCGTGTAATTTGATGAATTCTTTAAAGTCAGGCTGAGTAGTACCGTTCATTTGAATGTATTAATCAATTAGTCTAAAAATATAAAGACAGATGACGATTTTATTCATGAATATACTTGAGACTAACATGTTTCAAGTATTCTTATCAATTTTGAACATACTCGTAACGGTTTACTGAATGTTATTCACTAAGCTTAACGAAATGCTCCCTAGTGCGTGCAAGTTTTGGAGCAGTGAAATGTTTGACTGCCCATCGATGGATGCGTATAAAAACCAGTAAGACGTTCAGTTTTGCCTTACAACTATGGCCTATAAAAGCTAGTAGTAAATAGCATAATAGGCCTAAATGTACTTGAATAGAAGACTATCTGAAAAAGGAAAGTGATTTACTAAGCACAACGATAAATAAAAAAGGATGGTAAGTGATACTGGTTGATAACATGAACCTCCCATTACTTTTTCTTGAAGTCAGTGTTTGGTCTGTGACTTAATGGTTAGAGGACTTGAATTTTAACAAATAAGTAGGAGCTTTGAACTCTATATACTTATGTTAAAGCACCTTAGTAGTATTGCTAGCTCTCAAAGTTTGGTTAAAAAGCAAGTACAAAAAAGATGTTTATGAGTTCTAAGTAGTTTACTGTATGTTTATGTCGAAACAATTAAATGATGTATGGCCACAGAAACAGCTCCATGTAATTTACCAACACAAAGAATTCCAAGGAAGCTACGGAAGTGCGAAAGACACAGCGCTTAGTTGATGCGTGAGGAGAAATGAGAAGACTGAATTACCTGAGACATGTGATGCATTTTCACAATACATTTGAACAATCTGATAACACATATGCCTTGAAACGTACTTCAGTGGAAAAATGTTGAACAAATAAACAGTGATAAATAGGAACATAAGTAACAATGCAAAATATAACTAGGAAATTTTTATACTATTGCAGGTTTTGAAGTAGATGAAAGATCGTTAGGTCAGATTCACGGTGAACACCAAGTCAGTCAGTAACAACGTAGAACTTAGTAAGTACGTACATCATTCGGAGTTGTCATACCACATTACCACAGAGGTGCAGTTGTCGATTCGTGAACACAAAGTATTTTGACATGTACACTTGGAAGCTCCTAATAAAACCAACCCTGTAACCTGTCTCAATGCTTTTGCTGTCAAGATCCTTCGTTTTCTGCTCCCTGAGTATATACAGGCATATTCTAATCCATCCCGGGGATTTTTAAGCACATGTATCAATACCTTCGTCCACAAATTCTGTTTGCTTATTACTTATAGTTTCGACATGTATTTGAGTTAATAAATAATTAACAATGCAACTTACAAGATTCTGAGGCCTATGTGGATTTACAGTATTTCTGAAAAATTATCAATTGATAGCATCGGTTCAGAAATTACTCAGTTTGAGTGTCCTATACGTGGTAGCTTATTGTAAACCTTTGCCCTTCGATCAAAAACTAAGCTGTTTATATGTCGATAACTTGGCACAAACTAAAAGAAATCTGATGGATATGTGATCAACATTAGTCCTGTTACGCCGAATCCCTCGGAACAAACGTCTTACTAAACCTAAGTTTACACGTAAGAAATCTGTTTTCGTTAGTACCAGTACTGCTGAGCAGACTAACACTATATAATACCTGACTCTGATTATGTTTGCTTTAGTTACAACGGAAACTAAGTTATTCATGTTAGACGGTGGCAACACAGGCAACACTGTTTCTATCATTCTATTGATTACATTTAATCGCAATGTCAACAATTTATCTTATCATGCTGAGGCTCTCTTTCCCAATTATCACTTACCTACCTTTTGATGAATATTTAAGCCACTAACAGTCAAACGACTATTAGTTTGCCTGTTAAAATTTTTTAATACCTTTGTTTATTCAACCTTAATGTCACAAAGTCTAACAGAAGTTTATTATCATTATTATTGTAATTATTATCATCCTGAAAAATGAGTATATACATTTGTGATTGTACGAATTTGAAAATCGATTCACCGATAGGAGAACTTTTTGCTGAACAAATCTTTCTTATTTGATGTCCTAATGGGTGTAACTCGTTTGCAACACAAAGTGACATACCACGGTGATGCAAAGCAACACTACTATCAAAACACCCGCCTTCTCAACTCACAAACTAAATTCTTTACTTATTACAAAAGATTTCATGGTCTGTATGATTACTAAGAATCTGAAGTTTCGAAGTTATTTTGTATTCTTGTGACTAATCTACAGAAAAAGCTGTGATTAACCAATAGCAATAATGATCGAGCTACATGCCCAACGGCAGTAGTTACAAATTTTACGGTTCTTAGACGCTGTTGTAAATTTACTCAACGCTTGCACTCGTGTGGTTTAGTTAAAACACCAATAAAATGTTGGATGTTGAAGTTGTCCCCGAGTTAGGGATACGTCATAAACTTTGGGAGTTCGTTCTTGGGATGCCCATCCAACAAATGATTGACATTCTACGAAAACAAGACCATACGATTAAAAATGTTGATTTTTGGTATAGTGACAAGGATCCTTTCAGCATGAATTTGGTATTGGTGTTACCTGATGATGGTGTCAAGTTTCACTTTGACCCATTTTTACAAAGACTAAGGGTTGGTATCCCTGTTTCCTAATTTTGCATAGATCATCGAAGTTTTTAATTTGTCTTCCATCACATTGCGGTATTGGTAATTATGATTGCTTTTCTACTTCACGGTTTAGGTCACAGTATTTTAATAGTCCATCCATCTTGCCAACAATGCAGGAGGTTTTAAGAATATTCGGATCCACAAAACCTCTGGGTATGTAAAAGTGTTTAAGATTCTCTTAAAGTGGTTATTCTATTAAACGAGGCCTCATTATTTATGTGTCTTCCAGGCTGTACTTGATTTCTTGACCTAAGTAAATTTCATTACATACAAACGGGACTTGAAAAGAATCATGTGTACGTTTTGCCATAAATTCTTGCACTCATCAATATAGTCTGAAAGAAAAATGTTTGTTAAATGTAAATAATCAGATTTGGATTTTTATTTTGAGGACATAAGATCGACGGCCTGTGTTAGTCGCATGTGAGTGTCCAGTCTTCTTGAATGAGTCACATTACCATGATTATCATTACCGCATATCAGCAACTAGTACTGCTTCCCCTTCTTACACATTACCAACTTAGTAAATTACTTTTTTTCTTCTTGAAACAGTTATATTCTCTTAGCACTCGAATCATCACATTGCAGCTAACCTCCTGCCTGCTAATATGATGGCTGCTGTTATCTGGAAACCCAACTTCACTGAGACAAACGCACTCACTACAAGATAAACAAATCCACAAACAACTACCACACTGACTAGAGTTAGTGCAATCGAGTGGTTAGACCACCGCCTACTGGAAATTACCAAATAACGAATTTCAACGAAACATCAAGAAGTGATCGCAAAGAAATCAGTCGATCTAAGCAAGCACGTGACAAAGTTTTTGAATTGGAAGTTTAGACACCATAAATGACTCGTTTTGAAAACCAATGTTCCACAGTTTTTTATTCATTTTTGGGTTTTTAACTCGCCTGCTAACAGATACCTAGACTCATGGAGGTAATAGGTACTAAATGTGTAATCTCTAAAGTAACATGATTGAAATGTAAAGATTAAAGATGCAACGTAATGCTCAATACATGAAGGAAGTATTCGAAATTAAGTCTGTTTGTAGACGAACGCACATAGTACAAGTTTCTCAAGCCAACTTGTCAGAAAACCATAATATGTGGTTGCTGCTTTTTCGTCATCTAAACGACTTCTATGGTGAAACTGCTACTCAGTTCATCAGTTTGATGGCTGTGAAATTATTTTCTGACGTTGGTTTCAGTCATATTAGTATCGTATATTAATTTATATGTGCTAATTGTGCTGGAAGGTCCGTTGACATATATTTCAGCTAAAATATTTGGGTCCACTACTATAATTAGGAATCAAGGATATAATTAGCTCTTGCTTCATATTTTATGATTAATATTGTCTTATTCCATATCATAATAAATTCAAGCATTTACGTGGCTATTAAGATACTATGCATAGAATTAGCATATTTTTAGATATTTTATAGTGAAGTCCAGTGATCAGCTGATATAGAATTAATCATGTACATAGATACCAAGCTTCCAATTTTAAATTGGCGTCACCTTATACTTAACTAACACTTCCACGTATTCTCTTTCACCATTCATAGTCATTATATAATTTCTCTATATTAAAAACAGCTCCAGCGGAATCAGATGGTGACTACCAACTAACTTATCGAGGTATACCTTCATATTGAGAAGGTTCTCTACTGGAAGTCGTGAATCGATTGATTCCAAGTCTGATCTGCTTGCTACACGACTGTTTATTTATCTGGGTAGTAATTTAGCAGAAGCTAAGTAAGTACTATTGAGTTTAGAAACATATTATTTCTTCATTTTCACAGTTACCATCCACATAATTTTTTGGCATTTGAAGCAACAAAATTACTAGTACATTACTAGGTATTCGTTGCGGTACTTTAAAACAAATACAAGAGAAACTAAGAAGTAATACATCAGTTGTTATCCAACAACTAGTTGTATAATATAATCTCCAGGACTTAGAATGAGGTAAATAATTAGTGCCTGCTTAATACGACTGAGTAGTCGTACTTGGATTGATTATTTAGGTTATGCAAGTACTGACCGGGTCCAACGTTGGTTAACTGCGGTGATCGGACGAGAACCGGTGGTATGGTCACCGGCTACTTGGACCGATGCATATATGTGCCTGGTCCTACGTTGTAACTGACTGAATTTAGGTTATGAAATCTTAACTTCCTCGCTAGGGTCTGGATAATAATTATAATATATATGGTTAGAAACCGTAAACAACGTGGCTAAAAATCGTTCTTGGTAGAGCATCCGTGTTCATTCTTTACCTTCTAAATATTAAGCTCAACGTGACTCCACACTTTTCATCTCGCTCATCCCTTTTAAATTATTTCTTTTGGAATTCCCTCTATAATTAATATTACTATTTTTCCTCCTTATTGTTAATTACCAAGTGGTACGTTACTCAATATATAGTATTTAGTTACCGGGCTTATGTAGAGTTTGCTGTGCTGAGAATTCTATATTGTACCAAAATATAATATTGAATAAAGCCATTAATAGTAATAATAATAATAATAATAATAATAATAATAATAATAATAATAATAATAATAATAATAATAATATGCTCTATCAACCCAAATCGATGCAAATTAATGATTGGCTGAAAACGTAATACATCGATAAGCAGTTTTTTCATGTCATGCTGTGCATGCCTCATTTACAGCTTTACTGGATCATTTAAACGTTCACCAGCACCAAAATTAGTCGATCTTATATTTAGAGACGGACCTCAACATTATTACTAAAATGCTGGTCACCTGTGGAAAATAGCACTCTTCAGTAACGTAAAAAGTACGACTTTGCCGTCGTATCCCGGTACAGGTTCACAAGGTAATCAGTTAAAATACATGTTTAGAATATTATTGCGTTTTACTCTGTCTCAATGATTCCAGTAATAGTACAGTGACATATGTGACCAAATATCTGTCAGTTACGTATATGTTTTACAGCCGTAAACTAGCAAAAAATGTCGCTGATCAGTATACTCGTCTTTTTTATGGTAAATAATGATTAAAAAGTTAAAAGTGCGTATATACTGTTGAGTGAGGGTTAATACTAGCACTTACTCGAACTAAATGAGTTCGGATCTGTTTCATATTAAAGTCTATGGTCAACAGTTTTAAAGCTAAGTAATTAAGCTATGTTTACTTAAATAAACACTTTATTTATTTATTTGAACACATACATATTGGTACAAGAGTGCGCCAAATATATATGCGCCACACAAAACAATCAGAATTTAAAGAGAAGGAAAAAGAAAAAAAGAGGTAAGGAGGGTAAAAAAAACAATGAGGAAGAGATTGGTGTAAGGTAGTGTAATAATAATAGTGGTAATAATGGGGGAACAGAAGGGTACAATCAGAAAAAACCCTGCAGTTAAGGAGGATACAACCATTTTTTTATGGATCGCCACTGGCTTCTATTCTGAGCCATATCTGATAACGTCTCTAGCCACTGTGTAGCACCATCTCTCGGACCCCAACCAGGGAGTCGTGAAGGACCAACACAAGCCAGTCCTTTGCAGCTTTCTTTCATGCCACGACACCATGTCATGCACTGACCACCTCTCCGCTTCTTCCAACCAGTCCCAGAGTCGGCAAATAATGCACGACGTGGAATTCTCTGGGACGACATTCGGAGAACATGTCCAAGCCACCGAAGTCGGTGTTTCAAGATGGTGACACCAATTGAATTATCATCTCTGTGCCCGAACACACGATGCCGAACCTCTGCATTACTGACATGGTGTTGCCACTGAATGTCAGCAATCCTTCGGAGACAGCGATGATCGAACACAGAGAGTCGTCTAACGTCCTCAACTCGGAGAGGCCAGGTTTCACAAGCATAGAGCAAAACTGCTCTCACCGACGCGTTGTAGATCCGACCTTTTACAGCCAGACTAACATCACGAAGGCGCCAAAGGTGGCCCAGATTGGCATAAGCCGCTCTGGCTTTCACTATTCGTGCATTGATCTCATCACTCACACCCCCACCAGCACTTATGCAGCTACCCAGATACACGAACTTCTCGACTACGTCTATCTGCTCACCATCCAGGGTGAGTACAGGATTAGAATCCTGCCAGTCTTGTAGAAGTACTTTGCACTTCGAAGGTGCAAAGCACATACCATACCTACGGACACTGATTGCCAACTGATTAAGTGCGGATTGCATGCCTTGGGCATTATCGCACAGTAAGACAATATCGTCCGCATACTCAAGGTCGAGAAGTCTTTCTCCAGGCAACAGATCCACACCACCATTACTTACATTCATCAGAGCTGTTTCCAGAATGTCATCGATGGCAAAGTTGAAGAGGAATGGTGAGATTGGGCAACCCTGCCTAACCCCACTGCTCGAATGGAACAATGGAGAGAGGTGGTTGTATGCCCTCACTCTGCCTGAGGTGTTTTTATATAGGGCTTTTAGGATGTTAATAAACTTCTCAGGCACACCCTTCTTCAATAGACAATCCCAGAGAACAGTCCTGTCCAACGAATCGAAGGCAGCCCTGATGTCAAGAAACACTACGATTGTTGGCCTTTGATAAGTATGGCGGTGTTCTAACATTTGGCGGAGGGTGAAGATATGATCAATACATCCTCGACCAGAACGAAACCCAGCCTGCTCCTCGCGAGTCAATCTTTCTCGGGTTTTGAACAACCTACGAAGTATGACGGAAGCCAATAGCTTGGACGCAATCGGAAGTAGACTTATCCCCCGATAGTTGTTACAGGAACGACGTGAACCCTTTTTAAAGATAGGGACAACTATCGACTCATTCCATGACGTTGGTACACTCTCTAGTTCCCAAACCTTTGTAAACAACGTCGTCAATTCCTTAGTCAAAAAGTCACCACCATCTTTAAAAAGAGCCGGAGGTAAGTCATCTGGGCCAGGTGATTTGTAACGCTTCAAGAGTTGGAGTTCCTTGCGGACTTCCTCCTCGTTTGGTGGATCAGTCGTCACCGGCCATGGAGGGCAGGACAGTCTGACCGATGTTGCCGGAGCAGCAGGCCAGTTGAACTGCCCTTCGAAAAATTCTGCCCATCGTCCAAGACGTCGATGGATGTTAGTGATTGGCATCCCATCATCCTCGCAGATTGTTTCACTCACACCAGACTTCTTGCTGCCAGTGGCTCGGATGAGCTGGAAGAGCTTCCGGTAGTTACCAGATGCAGCTGCTGCTTCCAGCTCATTAGCACGCATCGACCACCAGGCTTCTCGGTCCTTACGCAAGCTTTGCCCAATTTCCTTACGTAACATCCTTCGTTTATGGTCAAACTCACGGTCACCCGGAGTAGACCGACGGGCTTCAATGAGTTGTAAGGAACCAGAAGAAACCCAGTGCTTAAAGCGGGACGTTTCGCAAACCCACAACTGACTGTTCCCGCCATTTTCATGGCGTCATGCAATTGCAACCAATGCTCATCTATACTTTTCGGTGGAGTGGTAGCTAGCCTAGAGGCTAGCTCGGTTCGATACTTACTTGCAACAGAAGTTGCAACCAGCTTGCTAACATCAATCCGTTGGTGGCGGTCACTTCGTTGTCCACTGAAAAGTAAGGCAAGATTGGCGCAGACCAAGGCATGGTCAGAGTCCAGATAGGTACTCCAAAAGGAGCGGCAGTCTTGTACACAACCACGCCAGCGGTAGCTGATCGCGATGTGATCAATCTGAGTCCAGGCTTGAGATGCAGAGGGAGGACGCCAGGTGGCACATCGGCGATGACTGTGCCGAAAGTTAGTGCTAGCCAGAAACAGGTTGTGGTCTGTGCACAGTTGCAGTAGACGGTCCCCGTTATCTGACCTGCGACCAACGAGTCCCCATCGGCCACCTAAACGACTCTCTTCTGTGCCTAGACGCCCGACCTGAGCATTCAAGTCTCCGGCTAGTACTACAATATCTGTCGAACGCACTTTCTGGAGAAGAACTGATAACTGGTGGTAAAACTCATCCTTGATTGCATCCGGGCTGCAATCTGTCGGGGCATAGGCGGAGATGACGAAAAGACATCGTTTCTCACGCCGATTTCTTCTCACTTTGATGGAACTTTCTAATCTAACAGCACATAACCGACTGTTAATGGGGATCCAATCGACTAGTGCTGCCTCAGCTCTAGCGCTTAGTGCGACACCAACGCCAGCAAGACCAGACGAAGATGCCACAGGGTCCCCGGATAAGCGCACGTAAAACAAGCTTTTCGAAGCGACAGATGGAGATCGAATTTGTAGTACTTCGCCAGAGTCTTGAATACGGGTCTCGGATAGACACAAACATCGATATTAAGACTTTCCAAAGACATAGCCAGCCCTATCTGTTGTCCGACCTGCATAAATGTGCGAACGTTGAAGGCAGCCAGTTTGAATGGTGCACGTGGTTTCAGAAAAACTGCTTCAGTACTCGTATTCGGTGGTAACATACAATTTTCAACCGGACAGTGACTCGAGAACGTTTAGATACAGTCGAATTTCCACCAAAGACGAGCTGCTGTATAAGTCGAAAAAATAAGTATAAACAGAGTGGGAATAAAAGAAGGTGAATAGTGACGTAAATAATAATAATAATAATAATAATAATAATAATAATAATAATAATGCGAGTCACTTGATTGTTATTTGGAGCGAGAGGAATATTTTTCATAAGTTGATAGTTTATCATGTTTTTGTGTGCGGGCTGAGATACTGCCCGGGTGCCCAAACCGAAGCAGGTGGTCTTCTTAGGAAGCCACACCCCTAGCCTTTGACCTAACGGTCTAACCCACAAGGCAGTGGAGCATCGTGAGGAGATGCAGTCCCATGGTAGTCGGTGACCAAGGAATTGGTTCGTACGCCATTTGTTCCCGCAGGATACTGGAACCCATGTGCACCATTGGTTTGGGATCCGGTTAAAGCACCGGATATTCGCTTTCCGTCCTCTCATTTTTGTTAACAACACCCCCGCCACGAGAAGGCAGTGAGTAGGACTTCTCTGGCAGAGGCTGTATACGCGTGGCCGTGTGAGAGTATTTCGAGAGGGAGGGCGAACCCACCCCGCTCTCGGCCATACCAGGGCATTTGGGGGCTAAATAAACATTATTAACATTCACTTTATGCATACTGTTTTCCTATCGGATTCCGTCACAATGCACAATTTCCTAACCACCTATGAAAATTAAGAATACTGAGTGTATATGAAACTGTAATTGACAAATCTCGAGCGAATAAATACGTACGTTTTCCATCTATATGATACTAGTCTGATTCATACAGGGATATATGGATAGTGATCTTAGATAAAACATTTACTCATATAGCACTTCTCACCTACCCTGGATCCTCACGATGGTGAGCATCTGGCATATCAATAATCATGCATTATATGTGGTTGTTTAATTTTTCTTTCAAGGTATTGACCTTTCCTTGTTTCTCGTTTCAATTATTTAAATAACATTGATATTGTTTCCTTGTAATTTATTTGTTTCTAGAGTCCCAGTTGAATTACCTAGTGCATGCTATTTACAAAATGTTTTTCTTGAAAGACTCGAAGTCAACAGATCAGCCAATTCTACCACAGACCTAACATTACACCTTGTTGCTCAAGGTATATCGTTGTTTTTTTTCATGTGACGTTTTGGTGTTTTTATTGGCTATACTTTGATTCTACTGTGAAATACTTATTGATAAGCATTATATTCCTAATTCAAACTTTTGAAATATGTCGGTAAATGAGTGTAACAGGATTTTAATACTTTATTTAACATAAGAGCTTTGATACCAAAATCAATTCAGTGAGTCAGTCATAAGCAGTATAAAACCTGCCGCTTATGTATCAGTTCAAGTTCCCGCTCTCTATCACTACAATGAGATCAAATAATTAAGATAAACAGAGTGGCAATGTAATAAGAGTAGGAGTGATAGTAGATAAGATCAAGCATAGACAATATGATTCGAGACGAGGAGAGGGATTTGCAATGTAAAAGAAAAAATAAAATGATTGCGCTAGCTACTTACAAGATATCTCCATTTTTAATTCAAATGTACTCGAGATAAATAAGAGGGACTGATAAAATTGCTTTCTTAATATAACCTGTTATTTAAAACCATCACAGATTAGACTCTTATTATTTATTACACTTGTTATAATATGTTTCCAGACTAATTTGAATGTAAAGGTGTTCAATGCTGAATAACATTTGGTAAAAGACTATGAATCACACTCAATAATAAATCTAATCTAATGTTACTATTTGATTAGTATTTGATTGAGAATTACTGTACAATCATTTTATTTTTTTATTTTACATTGCAAATCCCTTTCCTCATTTCGGTTTGTGCACCCGGGCAGTATCACAGCCTTCACACATATCAAATGAGATTTCTGTGGCACATATGTATTTGGTGCCTCCTTGTACCAATATCTATGTGTTAAAATAAATAAATAGTACAGTAATTCCCCTCTTGAGACTAAAATGTTCTCATTTTTTAACTCTAGTTTTACTGAGTAACATTTTGTCTACTCATCCATATTTGTTTTCCTCATTTTTGCAGATTTAAACGTGAATCCAACTCGTGAACCTCAAATCCGTCGGTTTACTCGCTCTTTAACTTTTGGAGATTCTGTTCAGGTTTGTGATTAGGCATTATTCTGTTGTCAAAGCGAATTTTGTTAGAATTATTTTTAAACCTTGTGTTTGGTCGACCCCTTGAGTTTTACTAATCTAATTGACGTGATTATTAAATTACGTGTTCAGGTAGAAGTTATGCGTAAACGTTTTATTGTAAAGAAATCTATGAGGTCTAGTGACACTTTACGGTTACCCAAACTAAAGTAGATGGAGTAGGCTTAAACTTGTGACTTGGAGACTAAAAGTTAAACGTCTGAACCACATGAAATTTCGATGCTGATTGTCAAGTTTATAAAAGTGTAGAGACAACTTTATGCCATCATAGTCAATTTTTATCAAAGTTGTATGATCCCTTTAAAATTTATATTCGCTTTCTGAATCTGGTAAGATCATTAACAATAGTCCAGTCTCTCAATTATCGTTTTATCGATAAAATATCTTATCACGATCGGAAAGTGTCGATTTCATAATAGCACTATCAGTTTCCTAAATCTTCAATTCTTCTTACCATTATTTTATTGATTTTTTCTCTCATTCAAACTCAAGAAGTGTTGTCCTTAGTTTCCTGGTAACTAGATTTAAACTATGACGGGACTTTCACTATTCAAACCCTATGTCAAATGGGAAACCACGTGTCATTAGCAAGAACTCTATAATGGAGTATGGTGCGTCTCAGAAGTGTGCATTATGAACTGAAGTGTGATAGTTCGCTTCACCCAAATGGTAGAAGAGCCAACAAGGCTAAACTTTTATTAGACTTGTGACCACTGACTTAAATCACTTGACAAAGCCAACAATCAGAATCCCGACTAAGTATCTCTGAGTTGACCAATTACATGTCCGACTAGCTTTGGTAACCAACCTCAATGTTATATTTTACGCGCACGTAGGCATACCAAACCGAATCACACCATAAAATGACAAAAAACAATTATACATGATCAACCAAAAGTGGCTAAGTGTACGGTAGACTGTGAATAATAAACTGGGAACAGATCAACAATAGTTAATGGGTTAATCAAAAGCTTATGATAAAAGGAATATATATATATAATCACTAACTAATTATACGATAAGAACACATGTGTAATAATAATCTATAAATTGGTCCTGGAACTTATCATTCATTCAGTCTCCGTTCTGGTTTAACAATATCGAACTCTGTAAAGACCTGACAATAATTTCTCATTGTTTTGCATGTATATTATTAAGTTCAAGAATATAACAAACTCTTCTACCCTGTTTTCTCGGTAACTAATCTCTGCATTATCATAAAGAATTAATTTGTAAGAACTTGATAAAATTACAGTACAATCCATCACCTTAGAGATTTGTAGAGATTATTGAATGTTGTCATTATTACGAAACAACCTAAATTAAACGTCCATCGAAAACCAAGTCGGCACCAAATACAAAATGCCCGTAGTTCAAGGTTTGTCAAAACTTGTTGGTAGAATACCATCAGAATAGATAAGGCCTGATCATCAGGCATAATTTTCATTCATGAATGGATTACTTTTTGAAAATTACTTACTCTCTGAAGAGAGCTGTATTCTGACACTGTTAATATAAGTAAGGACGGCAGCACAATGTGTTATATCTGAACGAAAACTAAAGGAATGGTAAGTTCAGGACCAATTTATAGATAATTGACCCGTTAACCGGTGTTAGATAATTCACTATTCTCAATTTATTTTCAACCTATTATTCAAAAAATATCCTGCTCTCAGACACTTTATGGCTTGATCATGTATAATGCTATTCTTTATTTCGTGGTTTAATGAGGTCTGGTCTACTTGTATATGAACTATGTCTGGAATATAAGTACGATCTTGGACTGGTGGTCATTGGTCCTACTTTCTTCCTCTTCGTTCGGGACTAGTTACGATTGGGTAAACCTTCAGTCATAAAGTATCAGTCTTCCTCATCCTTGTTGAGTATTCGTTTCTTTAGGTTGTCTATGAGTATTAGTCGTTCTTAACACATAACACAATGCTTCTTGAATCCTTGTCAATTTTTAAATATTTCTCTTAAAAATTTTACAGTATCGTTTTTAGTCAAACAATGTATGCTACTTAAATCTCACTAATAGTATATCTTTATTTTTCAATATTTTCTACCAATCAGGATGTACTTTCAGCTTTAGGTTCTCCAAGTCGTGTATTTTATAAAACTGAAGATAAAATGAAAATTCATCTTCCTCAATCTCATCGACTTGTGCAACCTAGAAAATCGGATTATTTTTTCAATTATTTTCCACTTGGCTTAGATGTATTATTTGATGCCCAAACACATGAAGTAATGAAATTTGTTTTGCATACAAATCAACCAGGAGAGTATACATTTAACACGTACGTGTTTGTATTCCCTTTTTTCAAAAAAAAATACAAAAACAATTACTGGGGATTATGCAAAGGATTTCCTGAGGGGGTAGTGTGTAATTTTGGTATTTAGTTAAGTTTAATTAAATCAGTGTCTTCGAATAATGTCGCAAACATTTATTTATTTGAACACATAAATATTGGTACAAAGGGGCACCGAATACATATGCGCCACGGAAGTCGCATGATTTGTGTGTGGGCTGTGATACTGCACGAGTACCCAGACCGAAGTAGGTTGTTTTCTTAGGGGGCCACACCCGAAGCCTTCGACCCGAAGGTTTAATCCACAAAGCAGTGGAGTAATGTCAGGAGATGCAGTTCCATTATAACCGGTGACCAACGATAAGTCCATGCGCCATTTGTTTCCCCAGGATCATTTAGTCTATTTGCACTATTGGTTTTGAATCAGTGTTTTTCAACTCCCTTAGGTGGACACAGAGGGCCCACCAATCTAGTTTAAGCTCCGTCCTCTCGAGTTCGTAAACATTACCTCCGCCGCGAGAACGCAGTGTGTTGGACTTCTGTGGTAGTTGCTGTATACGCGTGGTCATGTGAGAGCATTTCGAGAGGTAGAGCTGACTCTCTCCACTCTCGGCCGTACCTGGTTTTTTGGGGGCTGTCGCATACAAATACTATTCAACTGTACGCTACTTTTAGTCCTCATTTACCTATTTTCTTTCATTTATAGAACAACGGTACAAGTATTTAACATTTCCAACATTGTCAACTATATCAAGATATTCTTGTTAAGGTAATAAATGATAAAATGATATATTTGGGCAAGCCTGATAGTTAGGCAATAATTTCCATTGGCGAATGAATCGCTTTTAATTACTAAATCATCCAATCGGTTTATTTGTTAAATGAATTAATTCTAATTGTTTTTGTGTATAATACTTTGTACATAAGCGTGTTATTTTATTAGATGAAAAACCTATCGTACTAGGCAGCTGTCTTCTAATGTCAATTCGATTTGAGACTTACATGTATAATCCAGTCTCGTGAGCAGTTATCATTTCGCACATTATGTCGTTGCTCATTATCATTTAATCAAAACCTTTTTTTTTTCTTTAATCGTTAAGAATCATAAAAGGTCTAATTTATAACATATATGTTATTTTGTCCTTTTAGGGCTTATACTGACGCAAATCTAGAACTTTTTATCTTAGCTACTAAAGTATTCATGTCTTTATTTAACTTTGATTCTTCATATATAGTTACTCTTTTTTTTACTGTAAATCTATACCTTATTTTAGAGAGGTACAATGTAATTTTTACACAGTTATCTCTTTAATTTCATAGATATTATCGATGTCTTTTTGAAATACCAATTCCTATTGTAAAATCATCTAAAGAGAATACAAATACTGAAATTGATGAGACAGATAATGTATTAAATGAAACAAAATATTTAGTAACACCATTCTCAAAGGTAAGCAAATTCATTAAGTTTGGTATATATCATCAATCTATTTACAAATCTTATTAGGAAATATTGTAATTTAGCTAGCGCATATTCTATAATGAATTCTTAAGCTTTAAATTAGCTAATAGAATAGCTACCATGTTTTATTCTAGTGTAACTCATTGCGATCATATCAAAGTTGACTCAGTGTATTAACCAGTAAGGAGAACGATAAACAACCTCGAGGTTAGATATCAGGTCAGAGGTGAAATAATTAAAACAAATAACGGACACACAATTAACCAAATTCGTGGACAGCAAATCAAGTTATTAACAGTTGTAGGAAAATTCTAATAACATACTTCTTATTGAAGTATTATCGAGAAAAACAATAAAAGCTTCGTAATTTAACCATGCAGCTAGCAAAACAAAACATTTTAAGAATCCTCATCCTGAAGTACAAATATCCACTGCCATTTCATTGGGGATATGTTGATTAAACCACTTCTCCAAATTTCATGATCTGTAGGGTCATAATGAAAAATCAGTGTATTGACATGAATAAGCTAGTTAAATTAAGTTATAGAATATGTATTTTTGTTGCTTAAACTACAACAACTATTGAAATTACTATAATATCCACAAAAACCCCTTCTGATAATAATCAACATATGCTCACTAGTGACTGAATCCAAGAGATATTTCCTGGAGTTCTAGTGAGAAGCAGTGACCAGTGGAGTTCAGTTGGGTATGTTGTAAAATAGTAACTCACTGATTACAATGGTGGATGTGTCGCTCAATTTCATGGATTGATTGAAGTTAGACATTAACACCGTTGGATTCCGGCCGGCTCAGTGGTCTAGTGGTTAAGTGCTCCCATGGGAGATTGATAGGTCCTGGGTTGGAATCTCGTGGGGGGGGCTGGATCGTCGATGGGCACTGCCAAGGAGGAGTCCCACAATAGGACGAGGCGGCCATTCAGTGCTTCCAGGTTTTCCATGGTGATCTAGCTTCAATTGACTCATGATTTCAACTATTGAAGTTACTATAATATTCACGAAAACCCCTTCTGATACTAAACTACAAACTTTTAAAAATAAATGTGTATAGAATTGTATAATTAGCTGAAAATTAATTGCAAACTTTCATTGTTATTATCACTTTTTTTAAACTTTTGCTCAATAATATTAAACTAATACAAAAGTGGTCTGATGTTCGACAACATTTAATTTCATCAATGGATACTGAACCAGTGGTTATTTATAGAGAATCGAAACCACAACAGAATCCTTTTGGTCCAACACATGCATATGGTTATCAGGATATTATATTTGAGGTAAGTTCAGTGTGATCGAACTTTCATTTTCAAATTTGATATTGTTTATGTCTTGTATTGAACTTCATCGGTCGTAAATGATGTGTATTTCAAATCATTTGACTACGTAACTTTCTGCTTGCACTAGATCGACTTTGTTTCTAGGAAAGCAGAAAGATCATTAATCTTACTTGACTCTATAAACTTATATAGGTAATGTACAGTTAAGGGTTGAATAAATATAGCACTCAAATGTCAACCATAGACTTATAGTTTCGCAATGGAGGATAATGTCTGTCTATCCTGTGATCTTAATTGACCATTGGAATTCATTTGCTTCTGCAGTCATTTTTCATATAAAAATGTCTTAACAAGTACCTTATGTGTAATCAGATTGTTCGAAATGTATTGCTCAAATATATCGCATAATTTTCATAAACTGCGTCTTCTCACTACATTATCGAAATTTATCAAAAAGGCTAATTATAAGCAAAGACGGATAGTGGCTAGCAATGGAATCCAGGACGCGCGTTTCGTCCTATTTGGGACTCGTCATCTGGGTGTAGCTGCATCTCAGAGTTGATGTTCACTCCGGGACTCGAACCCAGTACCGTCCGCTTTAAACGCTATCGCGTTATCCACTTAGCTTATAATACTTGTAAATTAAGGCAATATCGAGGCAATACGCACAGTATGCACATATGCAGTCCTAAACATCAATCGAAAGATTCAAGTAAAAAACAATACCAAGTGAATTAAAGAGACTAATTGTTTTGAATTTCTAAAAAGAAGACTCCCTATACACTGTCTAGTTTGAGACCGACTACATAGATCTGTACTTGAGAATGTTTGTGTTTCATCATTATGAATTCAGGTATTATCTATTTTCTTTGATACTTACTAAATAATTATCATCTTATGAATATTTCTTTTCCTATATATATACATAGATTATTCCAACCAGTGAATGTATAGCATCAGTAACATTATATACTCCAATTCATCTATCTAAAACCTAGTTATCAAGTATCCAATTAACAACAACAACAACAACAACAACAAACAATATGCTGAACATTAGCCAACAGAAAAAAAACTCCCATTTCAAATTATAATTATTTTCTCTTTAAATAACTGCTAATTAATTTATTGTTCTAGTTTATGTATTATTTTCCTTTTCTTCAAAAGAGAATCTATAATATCTACAGAATTCTTATTCCAATATTCTTCCATAACTTGTAATTAATCAAAACCATTATTTCATAATAAAACATCCACATTGTAACTGTTCATTACATATAATAATGATTTGTTTAACTACAGATTATATTTTTGATTGAGATCATGAACCGATTAATATTCCCGATCGAAGCTGCTACCTTGACGCGGTGGTCGGGCTTGCCTATCGTGATGACCCAACCGAGCTATATTGGCTGGAACATATGTTCCTGTAGGTTCTACCATGCCAGGCAGGTCGATTGGAGAACGGTAAGACTAAAAGCAGCAACTCAAGGTCTGAGGGCGAAGTCGTACTGCTGACTGTAGAGGGGTGTGACAGCAGTAAGGTGTTTCCCTCGGACAACCAGCATGACAGCGATGCTGCCTTCCCACAAGGAGGGGTGGGGTTAGAAAAGGTCGACCCTAAAAATGTCACACCTCACCTTACCTCACGGATTTCCGTCTCCGGCGGTAAGGCCCTTTGAAGAACGGAGCTAACACGTCAAAAACCTTCCACAAAAAGGCCGTGCGCGACCGGCCTCAAGCAGTTGTCCCTTGGGCTCTGCGGTCACGCTCCCAGGTCGTCAAGACCAACACTAATCCAATTTCCTTTTCAGGTTCCTCAAGAAATACCCTTCCACGGTGTGGGCAGCCGGGAAGTGACATCAGCCCTCATACCCGTAACAGCACAAGAGACCAAGGTGGTCACATTCAAATCCTTCCTACACCTCCTAATACCTCTCTTATCTCCATGACTAACCCTCCTCACGTCTCTTTATCACCTCGCACCGCTAGGGCAAACGATTCGAGTACGTGGAACGCCATTCCTGGTCTCCTGAAACCACGCTCTAAACTACACGTAGGAGCTTTTAACGTACGAACACTTTGCCAAATAGGACAGCAGGCTTCCTTAGCTAAAACTTTAGAATCTCGCGCCATCGATGTGTGCTGCGTCTCCGAAACGCGCATACAGGATCCGAGTAGCGTCATTCATTTGACCTCACCATGCCAAAATAAAGAACCGACTCGATTTACGCTTCGTGTATCTGGAAGCCCTGATTCTGCTTCCCGTGGCCTCGCCGGCGTAGGTATAGCATTGAGTCCTAGGGCAGAACTAGCTCTCTTAGAGTGGATCCCAGTAGACAGTCGTTTGTGCGCTGTCCGACTGAACGGAACAGTAAGAATCCGGAAAGATAGGGACACTCGTCGTTGCCTCTTCGTCGTCTCTGCCTATTCTCCCACTGACTGCAGCTCAGATGATGTAAAAGATGAGTTTTACAGAAAGCTTTCGGACCTTCTCCGAAAAGCTAAGCGCTCGGATGTAGTAATAGTGGCCGGTGACTTTAATGCTCAAGTAGGTAAACTAAGCGATAGGGAAAGACACCTAGGTGGATCTTATGGTGTCGTGGCTCAAAGAACAGATAATGGCGACCGTCTGTTGCAGCTATGCTCAGATAACCGCCTGTTCCTTGCAAATACTAACTTTAAGCATAAGGAAAAACATCTTTTAACATGGCGACCCCCGAATTCGTCCCAACGTTGGACCCAAATAGATCACATCGCTATCAGCCACCGATGGAGGGGCTCGATAGAAGACTGTCGCTCATTCTGGAGCACATGCCTAGATTCAGATCATGCTCTAGTGCGAGCGCGTATTTGCTTGCGTCTTACTGGACGTAGGAAAGACGCTGCAAGGAAACCTCTTAGGGCCTACTTAATGATAGTCAAGCTAAGAGTATATTTCAGGAACAACTAGGAAAACAGTTAGGCAGCCATGTATGTGATGCCCACCCCGATGCAGCATGGAATGATATCCGAAAAGCTGTGGAAACAGCAGTGATATCTGCTAGTAAGGTAAACCAGAAGGTTAGGGAGCAACACTGGATCTCAGCAGCATCTATCGCACTGATAGATGCTCGGAAACTCATTCCACCTGGCTCTGAACATAATGAAGAGCGGAGTCAGCTTAAGCGCAAGCTGACAAGAAGTCTACGCAATGATCGCGAACAGTGGTGGGTAGCGAAAGCAAGAGAGATGGAAAAGGCAGCGGCAATAGGTAATAGCAGACAATTGTTCAGACTCGTTAAGGAAACCGGAATTAGGAACCCGACCGTTAGCGAAACAATCTCAGAGAAAGATGGACATATTATTCATTCTCAATCCAGGAGATTGGATCGATGGGCAGAACACTTTAGGGATCAGTTCAACTGGCCTTCAGCCACACTTCGGTTTCCCACGATCTCTAGTCAACCTGAATGGCAAGTTAATGTAGGTCCTCCGTCCCTTTACGAAGTTGAAAAAGCCATAGGAAATCTGAAACGAGGGAGAGCAGCAGGCCCTGACAGGTTTACTCCTGAGATTTTTAAGGATGGTGGTCCAGTATTAGCAATGAGATTAACTGAGGTCTTAGGTAGAATTTGGGAACTGGACGTAATCCCATCTGACTGGTCTCAATCACTGATTGTGCCAGTCTATAAGAAAGGACAAAAGTCCTCTTGTGACAATCACAGAGGAATCAGTTTGACTAATATAGTGTCTAAAATATTAGCTTCAATAATACTTCGACGCCTAATCAAAGCTCGTGAAGAGCAGACTAGAGAAAACCAGGCCGGTTTTCGACCTGGACGTGGTTGTATAGATCAGATATTCACACTACGTCAGGTTCTAGAACACAGACACACATTCAGACGCCCCACAATGGTAGTATTTCTCGACCTTAAGGCGGCATTCGACTCTGTTGATCGTGAGGTTCTATGGCAGTGTTTGTCACTGAAAGGAGTACCAAAGAAGTACATTAACCTTATAAAGGCTCTCTACTCGAACACAACTGGTAGAGTGAGAGCTTATGGCGAACTGTCATCAGAATTGATTACCTCAAGTGGTGTTCGTCAGGGCTGTCCACTCTCCCCATTCTTGTTCAACTTTGTGGTCGACGTACTTTTAGAGATAACACTCTCCTCATCTAAATTTCCAGGGGTTGAACTTCTACCGGGAGGTTCACTTGTTGACTTAGAATATGCTGATGACATAGTTTTATTTGGTGAAGACGCTGACAAAATGCAGAGTCTTCTGACCACTCTAAGCAACAATGCAAGCATGTTCGGGATGCGATTCTCTCCCTCGAAATGCAAAATGTTGCTTCAGGATTGGGTTACATCGACACCCGAACTAGTGATAGGGAGTGAAGTAGTTGAGTGTGTCGACCGCTTCACTTATCTTGGAAGTCTCATCAGCCCTTGTGGTTTAGTGTGTGACGAAATCTCAGCACGGATACAGAAGGCTCGACTAGCTTTTGCCAACTTGCGTCATTTATGGCGTAGGCGAGATATCCGTCTATCAACCAAAGGACGGGTTTACTGCGCAGCAGTTCGTTCCGTCCTACTTTATGGCAGTGAAACATGGCCGGTAAGAGTAGAGGATATTCGTAGGTTACTAGTATTTGATCATAGGTGTCTTCGAAATATTGCTCGTATATCATGGGACCATCGAGTAAGTAATGCAGTTGTTAGGAAACGGGTACTAGGTAAGGATGGCAAATCAATTGATGAAGTAGTGAAACTTCATCAGTTGAGATGGCTGGGACACGTGTTACGTATGCCCAACGACCGACTGCCTCGACGTGCTATGTTCAGTGGTATAGGAGTAGGTTGGAAGAAAGCTAGGGGCGGCCAAACCAAAACATGGCACAAGTCCATGAAGTCACTGACAAGTGAACTGAGTCATGTTGGTAGGTGTAGACTACCTGGTTGGGGACCGCGAGATGATAGCAACCGATGGTTAGAGACCCTGAATGACATGGCTCAAAATCGTTTGCAATGGCGCAGGTGCATCCACTCTCTGTGTTCTCCCAAATTCTAATCTTCTGAATCCTTCATGTCCCTTTTTTCCTCTTTCCAAATTTATTTCACTGGATTATACTCTTTAAATAACATCTCCAAACCCTAATCTTCCCGATTACTGCTTATACTCTTGCTACCTCTACCACTACGGGATTTGAATCGACAACTGCATCTCTGTGCTAATGTGGTGTGGCAACTCGAACTGATGTACATATGTACGAAGTTCTACGTTGTTACTGACTGACTGATTAATATTAGACCACCGTTGGAAACCTGGAAGCACTGGACGGCCGTTTCGTCCTATTGTGGGGCTCCTCTCTGGCAGTGCGCATCCACGATCCCGCTCACGGGATTCGAACCCAGCGCCTTTAGTCTCATGTGCGAACGCTTAGTTACTTGATCACTGGGCCAGATTATGTAATGTGTTGTGCAATAAGTCAACTAATCAATTGGTAACAACGATCAAAAAACTTATCTAACTAACACAATATTTTCTCATATCAAAAGGGTTTTTTGTGGATATTATAGTAATTTTAATAGTTGAGATCATGAGTCAATTGAAGCTAGACCATCATGGAAAACCTGGAAGCTACAATTAACTCATGGTCTAAACTATTAAGATTACAATATTTTCACGTAAACTATAAGCCTTTAAACAGAACTGAAAGATCCGACACTTATCCTGTAACGAAGTGAATGTGAGGTCTCATAAAAAGCATCAAACTAAAATAAAAACATCAATGTATCACTCTTTTATTCTCATTAGTTCTTCAAATAACCTTTCTATGATGCAACTTATCTTTAAAAAAAGTTAAATGATTCAATATGAAACTGTGTGTAACTAATTAAGCAAATGAGAATCCCAATCAATATATTGCTTTTCTTTCTTGCTGAAACTTTGTTATAACTTGTGACCTGTGTACCCTGTTAATGTGTAACGTAATAATACATCCAATTAGAGAGCAGTGAATTATCGACCGGACCAATGACGCACAAAACAAGTAGGAGCAGTCTAGAGTACTTATCGGCCTAGCCCAGCCTGTTAAGTCCAGAACACTAATCTCAGCGATATGAATCATTTATTTCAAACATACTGAGTTTATATACCAACCAAACAGACCACAACGTACC